GGGGTTCGGCAGGGTGATACTATTTCACTGAAACTCTTCAGTGCCACCCTCAAGAACATCATGCGACGACTGGAATGGGAAGGAATGGGAGTGAAGATAGATGGTCGGCAACTACATCACCTCTGCTTTGCTGATGACATTGTTTTAATAACACCAAACATCAGCCAAGCGGCACAAATGCTGGCCGACTTTGACCGTGAGTGTGGAAAGGTTGGACTACAGCTGAATCTTACGAAGACAATGTTTATGAGAAACAGCCTCGTTCCTGATACCCCATTCGCTCTCAACAGAACAACCATCTCCAAATGCAACAGCTATGTGTACCTAGGTCGAGAAGTCAACATGACAAATGACCTGGCACCCGAGCTGCGCAGGAGGAAGAGAGTGGCTTGGAACACCTTCAAGAGCGTCGAAGAAATAGCTAAGAGGACAAAGAACCTCTGGCTCCGGGCACATCTCTTTGATTCCACTGTTCTTCCTGCATTAACATATGCCTCAGAGACCTGGGCCCTACGCAAACAGGATGAGAATGCTATTCGGTTCTCCCAAAGAGGAATTGAAAGAGCTATGCTTGGAATTTCACATTTCACTCACATCAGAGAAAGAATTCAGAGTTCCGACATCCATTGACGATCAAGAATCAGGGACACTGTCTCGTTTGCCAAGGCATCAAAAATCAGATGGGCTGGTCATGTAATGAGATTAAAGATGACCGCTGGACTAGAGCTGTTACTGACTGGATTCCATGGGATGTCAAAAGATCGCGTGGCCACCCACCTACCAGATGGTCAGACTTCATCAAGATCATGAATGATTGGTTTGAAGCTCTTCATGTTCCTAGAGCGAACAGATGCCTTTGGGCTACACTAGCATGCGACAGGGAGAAATGGAGACATTACTGGCGCCCACTCGAGCAAATCGATGATTAACGGGAAGTTAAGTGATTAAGTGATAAGTAATCATGTTGCCTAAAAAATTACTGTACCTTGTTAGCAGATTACAAAGAATCTGAATGATGACAGATTTCTAGTCAGAAATATTGAAAGAGTAAAAGGTAAAAAGGTAAAGGCCCTCCCGTTGATCGTCGATTTGCTCGAGCGGGCCCAGTAACGTCTCCATTGGAGACTTTGTTGTTACTGTGTCTGGCATATCAAATACTCTCGGCAGCTTGCCGGGCTCTCCGAGAGGGGCGGAGGAATCGAACTTGGGTCAGCCATGTTGGCCGCTTGTAAGGTGAACGCCCTACCGCCGTGCTATGTAAAGAGTTGATTAGAGTACACTTTCAAGCTAAAGTTCTACATCCAATAAAACATTGGTGAGGTGGCTGAAGTACGATGGGTAGGGTGTTTGCCTTTCACACAACCTGGGTTTCAGGCGCAGAATCTCATATTCTCCCCTCCCCCCACCATGCCAACTCCCTTCCCCCAGCCACAGACCTCCTCCCTTGAGCACTGCCAGGAGTAATTCCTGAGTGCAAAGCCAAGTATAACTCCTGAGCACCACTAGATATGGAATGGCCACCAAACAAAGAAACAATAAAAACATTGACTTCCTCCCCCGCAAATAAAATTGGTGATGGCTAGAGAAATAATACAGAAGGTGAGGCTCTTGTCTTGCATGCCACCTACCCAAGTTCTATTCATGCATCCACAAATGGTCCTTTGTGCACCTCCAGGAGTAATCCCTGATGGCAGAGACAGGAGTAAGTCCTGAGCACCCTCAAGGTCTGGCTGAAAATAAGATCAAATAAAATGAGCAATAAAACATTGGTGAAATACAGTACACTTCAGACATAAAACTGTTGGGTGAATTCAGTATCATGAATTAGCACTATTACAAGAAATGTTGAAGGAAGTCCTTAAGTGAGGAAAGAAATGTTATCAGAGGATAAAGCTGACCTATAGCAAGAAATGAAACATGAAAAAATGCCAAATGTATGAATTAATATAAACTTCAAAACATTTAATATAACTTTTAAAAGTTATTTAAAACAAACACAGTAATGTATTTATAATTAATAATTATTGTTAGGTAAAATGTAGAACAAAGATTGAAATAGGAGGGGAAATGAACAATGTTGTAATAGTCATAACCACAAAATGATAGACTCTTACTTTGAAGGAAAACTGCAGAGCTAAATATAAAAGCTTCCACAACTGCTGAAAGAATTACAGCTAATGCAAGCAAATGAGATACAATAAAGTGATATGAAATACATAATTAACCCAAAGAAGACTGCAAAAGATATAAAACTGAACAAAGAACAGATTAATCAACTAGTAAACATAGAGCAAGACATAGACTCAAACCCAGTCATACCTTCAAAGCACATAATCTGTTAGGTACAAATACTCTAATAAATGCAAAAATTTACAGTCTTATTTTTGAAAACGGAGACCTAATTATATGTGGCAAAAAGAAATCCACTTAGTGTTTTTAATTCTCCCTTTATTCTACCACTTTATCTTTTGACTGTTGTTGCAATGACTGGAACTCACACATTTTGCCTGTAGTGACAGCACGCTTAGCCATTGTGTTTACTGGGGGAGCTCTTTTTAGAGGCAGTATTGCACATGCCCATCTCACTCTTTAGAATTGTCTATACTCATGAGCTATTGGATGCTGTGCAACTGATCATGGAACTTACTAAATACACAACCCACACAAACACACAATCGTAGTGTGCTAAGAGTCCAGAATACCAGAGTGAGGCTGTGATTGGTGTATGTGGACAGCACTATCCCTGGGATCAAACACACAGATTTATAACAGCAAGGCTGTGGTGGTTTTTTTTTTTCGCTGAGTAACCCCTGGCCCCCAGAAATCCACTTTTAAAATCTACTTTAAATAAAATACAGAAGTTAAATTATGAAAGGATAGGGCCAGTTAACTAAAAGAAATCTAGAGTGACTATTAATATCAAGAAAGTGATTTTAGAGCAAAGAATATTACCTGATAGATGGTAACTTCATAATGATAAACGGGTCAATTTATCATGAGGACATAACAATTGCAGCTGCTGTGAAGGAAAATACAGAAAGTAAAACATGCTAGGAATTACAAGAAGAAGTAGAAATTTTATAATTATAATAAAATATTGAACACATATATCATTAATTCATAGAATAAGTAGACAGAAAATCAATCAATATAGACATTTTTCAAACACTACATATAACAATAACAGGATATATATAGTGTTAAGTCCAGACACAGTACACAACTGTTACTAAGATCAACACAGCTGGCACTAATTATTTGAATAAAAACTTTTCCCAAAAGCTGTATGAATGATAAATAGGCACACGAAAAAAAATGCTCAAATTTTTCATTCATGAGGGAAATTATCTTAAAGCACAATTTGTTATTACTGTATATCTAAAATCATATCTAAAATAAATATTTAAAAGTTTGACCATGCAAAGTTTTGTTAAGGAGGTAGATAAAATGTATATAGTGGGAAGTGTCTTGGAAGGAGACACAGGAGAGAACATACAGTTTGTTTTAAACCATCAATTATTGTAAAATTATGATAATAATAATCGATACAGATTGTTCAATAATCCTGTGGGTTTAGTAAGTGTCACTGTCACTGTCCTCCCATTGTTCACTGATTTGCTCGAGCGGGCCCAGTAATGTCTCCATTGTGACAATTGTTACTGTTTTTGGCATATCGAATACGTCACAGGTAGCTTGCCAGGCTCTGCTATGCGGGTGAGATACAGAAAGTCTCACAATGGAGATGTTACTGGGTCCGCTTGAGCAAATCAATGAGCAATGGGTTCAATAACTAATGCAACTAATTTAGTTGAGTGCAGAGTGTTTATAATTGTGGTAGACATAACCGAAAAATGAAACTCCAGAAAAACAACGTATTGTTCTGAGTGTCTGTGCTAGCTACTTGATGCAAAGAAATAATCTTTGGAAGTGAGAATAAGCCTTACACTTTGCAAAGTACAGCTTTATCTCTTGATAGCTATAAAATAATGCAAAATATTTCTTTTACATATTCTTTAAGATTTATTTGAAGACTAAGTAATATTAATAATAGTTTACTACCTTACTTTGTCATATTAATAAAGTGGTGGCTATTTGAATAAATTATTTCAATATATAATAATAATGTAAATGTAAGTTTCCATTACATTTTTATCTAATAGTGTACTAAGAAAAATTTGACAGTTTTTTTTTCCTAATTAGAAAGCTTGAAAGTGACAAAAAATATTTAAAATAAAGCAAACAACGGGTGTAAACAGGAAATTAGGTATATTTTTGAGGCCTCATTTTCCACTTCTTTTTTTCTTTGTGGTCTTTTGAAGAATTGTGAGTGAATTCAGGCTGTTTTTTTCTTAGAGAGATACTAATGTTCTATTTTGTTACCAAAATAATGAGAAAATTTTTTTCAAAGAATATTTAAAAGAATAACACTCTGAAACATAATTCATGTAGTGCTAAGTGCTATTCATATCATTTTTACTTCATGTATATTCATTAAGCACCTTCTTGTAGCCAACATAGATATTAAACCTTCAGTAGAAAGCAACAAGAAAATTATCTGCTTTTAAGAAATCGATATTCTAGTGAGAGGCATAAGCACTATAGACATAATACACGTGTTAGGTGAGAGGATTTGTTAATGAATATTGAAAGGGAATGGAGAAGAGAGAGCTTCCGGGTAAGATAGGAGAAGGTTGTGCTGTTACTAGGGGGTTAGTTGTCAAGGAGTCTCAGGGTCTGATATCTGAGCAACACTGAGTGAGATCAGATGAACGAGAAGGAGGGATCTGTGGAGATTTTTTTACTTGTTTGGGGTCATAGCTGGCCATGCTCAGGGATTACTTACTCCTGGCTCTGCTCTCAGAAATTATTCCTGCTGGTGCTGAAGGGACCACAATGGGATACCAGGGATCGAACCAAGGTCAGCTGTGTGCAAGGCAATTGCCCAACCCTCTGTACTATCTCTCTGGCTCACTGTGGAAATTTTTTTTTTTATGTTTATGATGCTTGTCTCAGCAGCACATAAACTATAATGGAGACCATAGAGAGATTAGCATGGCCCCTGCACAAGGATGACATGCAAACTGGTGAAGCATCCCATATTGTTTAAGATATAAAATCAACCCAGGTGTCCAATGACAGATTAGTGGATGATGAAGGTGTGATGAAGGTGCGGTCTATATGCAGAATGGAGTACTTGTATGTAGCTTCAAGGAATAATGAACAGATGCAATTTTCAGCAGTTGGATGGAACTAGAGTGTATAATGTTAAGTGAAGTAAGTCAGAAAGAAGGACAAATATAAGATGAAGCCACTCTTATCTGTGGTACATCAAATATAGGACAAGGGAATGCAAGATATCAAAGGGGGATACCCAGATACCCTGATTGTGAAAGTGAGAACATGGAATGAAAAAAATCTAGTGGAGGTAGTAAGAAGTGGCAGGATGGAGGTAACCGGAGTGGGAATCAGTGGTCTAAGACATTTTGCTAGTGTAGTCATGAACCACTGAGTCAACAACACTGTAAGAATGAGACCCAGGGATGGAGAGATAATACAGCTAGTAGGACATTTGCCTTGCACTTGGTCAACCGTGGTTTGATTCCCAGCATCCCATATGTTTCCCTGAGCAAAGCCAGGAGTGATTCCTGAGTGCAGAGCCAGGAATAACCCCTTTGCATCACCAGGTGTGACCTCAAAGCAAAACCAAACAAAAAGAATGAGTCCCAAACCACAATAATAAAACTTTAAACTATCTTTTAGGGGGTAGACTTGGATGTGGAGGGAACTTGGGGTCATTGGTTGAGGGAAGTTGACACTGGTTGTATGATTGGATTGAAACATTGTAAACCTAAAACTATGAACAGCATTGTAAGTCAAAATGATTTAATAAATGAATAAATAGAATTGAAAATGTTTAAGGTCATTTATAACTAGATCCACTTTAGTTATTTTTAAAAACATTAGGAAAAATACCAAGCTCCCTGTGATGCATTTGATATGCCAAACACAGTAACAACAAAGTCTCCAATGGAGACGTTACTGGGCCCGTTCAAGCAAATCGATGATCAACGGGAGGGCCTTTACCTTTACCTTTACCTAGGAAAAATACCAACCACCATATCCATTATACCCCTCCATCTTTGATTTTTCTCTCTCCACTTTCCCCTACTTCGTAAACTCTAGAAACCTTCTTCTGTTGTCTAAGTTACAGGTTTATTTTAAAATTTTGTTTACGTTTTAAAATACTTTTTTTCTTCTAGTATTTTTTGGGAAGATTTGGAAATTTTATCTGTTTGAGATATCATACAAGAAAACGAGACAAGACCTTTTTGTGACTAACCATATTGAATAACCTTTCATAGAACTGTTTGAAAGATTATTTCAAAGAATAGCACTCCAAGCTGAAGAAATTGCAAGGGCAGAGGGCGTAGTAGTTGCTTGTCTTAGTGCAGAAACAAGAAGAAAATATTTATGATTATGATATGATATGATAACCCTGAAAGAGCCTTGAATATGGCACTTTAAAAAAAAATCTCAGGGCTAGGACGAAGGAGATATTACTGGGACCTGCTTGAGGCAATTGACGAACAACAGAATGGTCGTGATCGTGATCGTGATGATATGATAGGTGCAATGAGAATGTGGAGGAGAAAAGTCAGAAATTATAGGAGCAAGAGTTGATCACGAGCACCAAGAAAGCTTCTGGGACTTTACTGAGTGTCATAATAAACCTTTCCAAAAGGAGAGACCTGACTTATAATTTATAGGAATAACTTTGTCAGTTGATGAATTATGATAAGACTCTCCAAGAACCTAAAAGTAAGATGACACAGGAAAAGTGAGTTGACTAAAGAGATTTTCCTGAGAGATTCGATTGTGGGTATGAAAGAAAGAGTCAAGATTGAGCACAAAATTTCAAATAATCATATATAGTTTGGGTAGGGAAACTTTCATTTGTCAAGTGCCATTTGGATATTTATAACATCATTCATGGGGTCATACAACACAGGTAAGTGCTGAGAAGCATTTAGGTCTTTCCTCTCTTGTTCCAGGACCAGAGCACATGACACTGAGGGTCTTTCATGGCCAGCACTCTGGCTATACTTTACATAGAATGATCAGAAACATACTGTGGAAAAAAAATGATTTGGGGCAGACAATTAGAAGATGCTGGAAGCATGGTATATTGAAAGTTATATAATATCTATTTGCTTGGGTAATATCTATACTCTGAGATCAACACAATCTAACATACGTATATTTCTCTCTTTTGAGGGTAGAGCACCAAGAAATTTCTTTTCCAAACCCCAGCTGGAGCAACATAACTTTTCTGTCAAACTTCTCACCCCATCTTTAGACAACTGCTATAAAACCATTAGTTTATTTTCTTTAATTAATTTTCTTTCTTTTTTTTTCTTTTTGCTTTTTGAGTCACACCCGGCGATGCACAGGGTTTATTCCTGGCTCATGCACTCAGAAATTACTCCTGAAAGTGCTTGGGGGACCATATGGGATGCTGAGAATTGAACCTGGTTCTGCTGCTTGCAAGGCCAACGCCCTATCCACTGTGCAATTGCTCCAGCCCAAAAAACCATTATTTTATTGAAATTTATAGTCATAACATTGGACACAGATGAATTTAGCATTTCCTTCTTCCTTGGAAACTAATCATTTCAGAGGGATATCTTATTTTTGCATTCAGGTAGCAAAGAAAATAAGCTTTCTAATGTGGGCATTCTGGACTAGATTTCAACCAATATTGTCAAATACTATTTATTCTTCCATTTTGAAAAGCAGAATGTTATTTTTCAACAACCTACTTTATTATCTCCTTAGAGATATTCTGAAACTTAGCAGAGAAAAAGAGGCTGTTAGCACATAACTACATAACTTACAAGTAAAACAACAAAAGTCTTTAACACAATGTCAAAAGAAAACCTAAGAAAATGTACTGCCTTGGATTTTAAAGCTTTGGTTATAGAGTGACAAATGATTCTTCGGAAATCTAAGAAATCTTTAAAAGTTGGTTTGCAGATTTGGATAAAAATTTAAAACATTATGTGAAAAACCTACATAAACCTGTAGGTGGATGATTGGCAAAAACAACCTAGAATTTGAGATCAATGACCTTTATTGTTATTCTAGAATAAACATCAGAAGGAAAATAACCATTCATTTAGCCTTAACAATAGGCAGAGACCACAGCTGGCTGAAAGTAGCATTTCCCTTATTCAGTCTTTAAATAGTGTTTTAGATTTGCTTAACAAGACAGACTGATTTACGTTTTCTTATATTTATTTTTCTTCTTGGCTTTCATCAGATTGTACTGTTCTGTTGGGGCCATTTTTCCTTAAATTTTAATTTGTTTTCTGATATAAGCTTGTTTTTTCTAGTTGAAGGACTGGAACAATGCCCAAAACACTATAAAAAATGAAGCTTTCAATCATGAATTGAGTTATTGAAGAAAACAAGAGGCAATATTTTTAATAAATCACCATATCAAAATGTGTTTAACTATTACTAATTTACTATTTTTCCCTATAACTCTTTTCTTATTTCTTTACCCAGTTCACTGTGCTATTTTGTATGTTATTAAAGGGTTTTTTGTTTATTTTACCGACACCAGTGTCCATCGGGCTGGGGCGATAGCACAGTGGATAGGGTGTTTGCCTTGCATACGGCTGACCTGGGTTCAATTCATCCACCCCTCTTGAAGAGCCCAGCAAGCTACCGAGAGTATCCCGCCTGCACAGCAGAGCCTGGCAAGCTTTCCATGGCGTATCCAATATGCCAAAAACAGTAACAACAAGTCTCATAATGGAGATGTTACTGGTGCCCGCTCAAGGAAATTGATGAACAATGGGAGGACAGTGCTACAGTGCTATTTGGAGGATTTAGAATGTGATATTTAACAAATACAAGTAACTTGTTGTATAAAATCTTTGAGGGTGGCCAGGGGGTGACCCCTATGGCTCTTCCCCTGGCTGCTCAGGTTCTGTGGGGCCATGGGGCAGATGGCAGAGGAGATGAGGACCAAGCTGTTGATTGATCAGATGCTGTTTATTCCATTCTCATCCCTGTTCACTCCTTCTCTCTCTCTCTCCTTCTCTCCCTGCCCCGATCTGGAACCCCTTTTTCCTTCTCTCTCTGACTCTGGATCTGTTCTCTCAGCCCACCCTTACAATTTCCTTTAATTCCCAAACCATGAGAGGCTAGACTTACCCATAGGTGTGTTCACCATCAATAGGGGTAAAGTTCTTTCCCGCAGGGGATGCTGCTTCTAGGACAGATTCTTTTTCAGCAGTCAGAATCCCATGAGTGTGTTTCTCCTCTCCTTGTCCAGCAAGCAAATAAGCATTCATAATATTAATCATTTTGTAAGAGATGTATTAAGCTTATAGAATTGCTCTCCTGGGGTCATTCTGATCTCAGACTACAGTGTTCAGGCCAGATTAGTCTTTCCTATCCCTAGCAGGGTCCTAGTCTCATCATTATTTTTGGATCATGACAGCATTTGTCCATGATCAAGCTTTTAACTTATAGTTAAGAATTGAGGTACTTTGGCCAGGCCCATCTCGATGCCAGGGTAGCATATAGTTTGCCCTGGGTCCATTCAGTCCCTCATCAGGACCCTGCTTTTGGGGTGCTAGGAACCAACGGCAACTGAATCTTAAGTCAAGAAAGCAGATGTCTGGGAGTGAATAATATTCAAAGCCAATTAAATCCCAAGTTACAAAAACATAATATTAATTGTCTTCTTGTGTCTATACAAAAGGACATTGCTTTAAAGTAAACTATTCAAAAGACATAAGGAGAGGAGAAAGGAAATATTAACTTACAAGTTCAGTGTCCTAGAAAGATCTGACCTTACAAATTAACAGAATTTGATTTTGGAAAAAAACTGATTAACTGGTTGGGGAAGAGAGCATAGAGAAGTGGTTACAGATAAACAAAAGAATGGCAGTGACTCGGGAGCACTTTAATGGGTGTGATCTGATAAACCTAAGCTCCTTGTGGCAAGGGAGAAAGGACAAAGTATTGTTATCCTACAACCTGTAACATTTATAAACTTGAAACTTATCACAAGAAAATAATGGTTTAATT